GCCTGAAAGGCTTTGTCCATTTGGTCCACTGTAGCAAGTTACCTCTGGCTCGGAGACTTACACACAACATTCATGTCTTGCAGTTTGAGAGGAGAGCGTCAAATCGATGCACCAGCAGACCTGGAGTCCAGGGAGGGCCCTCCTCTTGAGTTATAGGCAGCCGTCTTCCTGTATTCTCCCACTAAAACGGGCAGGAAGCATGGGAAGAGGACAATGGCAAAGGGAAATGGCCCTGACCCTGTCACCACTGAGTGTGTGCTCTGTTCTTGTGCTCAGGCGACAGCTTTGCCATAAAACAGGGAAGGAGCCACGAAGCAAAATGTTTACATACTAGAAAATCTCTATGGCTGAACCCAGCTAAAGCTAGCGGGATCTGGGATGGTTACACAATGACAAAAACGGAGGAAATGATTCCATGGGAAATTCCCATAAAATGCCCTGCCTAAGGCCCCAGAATCAACAGTTGTCAGAACAGAATCACGGCATTTTTACATAATTCACCCAGAAAGCAAGGCCACTAGCTGAGCAAGACTGTTTCACCGGCTGTGAAAACACCTCCGACAGGCGTGGGTTACTGTTGTCTTGGTTGCCTTGCAGAAACCTGAAGGCCACTTTTCCTTAAACACAGATTCTCTGGTGAAGCCATGGGTACCTCGTAGACAGCTGCAAAAGCTTGGTATTTCTGTCTTCCTGTCGTGTCTGTCACCTTTGCTGTCTTAACCCTTGTCCCATTTTCAAATATTTGTCCAAGACTACCGCATAGGCCTATCAGCTGCTAGAGCTGATGTGTTTCCTCTACCAGATTCTGTGGGGAGCAGAGGAAGTCCTAAGCGGATGCAGTCCTTCCTGACTGAATGTGTACAGTTGACATGAGCACAGCCGTGCCAAGGACCCCCAATTCCTCAGTCTCGGGGAAACAGCAGAGCCTTCCCTCCTGGTCTGAATGCAAATGTTGATAGTGTGTATAGAAAAAAAATCCACCATCGCTTTCTTTCACCCCACAGCCTAGATTTACGGCCCCAATATTGCTCTCCTATAGAGAAAGCTCCTACAGAGAATAGCTACACCCAGGCCAGGTCAACCCTGGAGCCGTGCTGGACGCCACCCTACCTTTGTGTTTCCAGGGAGCTGGAGCACCCACAGTTCCTCAGACTCATGACAAGGCCCAGGACATTCGTTAAAGATGATCATTCTCTGGGTTGCAGAGATCATTCAGTGGTTAAGAGCACTTGCTGCTCTTTTAGAGGCCTGGTGGTCAATTCCCAGCACCCCCCGCCCCATGTTGGCTCAAAAACATCTAAGGGATCTGAAACTGTCTTCTGGCCTCCATGGGCACCAAGCATGCACATAGCACACAGACCAACAGGTAGACAAAACACCAATACACATAAACAAACAAACATATAATGTGTAGCGTCATTTCTGGCTAAATCACCAGCCACCAGGCCGCAAACAACTAGGTTAGAATACTTGCACATGAAAGGAAAAGTCCTTCAAAACTGTGCCCAGGAACAATGGACAGTTACCAAGGTTTAGCAGCCCCCCCCCCCCCACACACACAGTCAATAAAGCCCTCTGCTAAGCCAGCAGTCATTTTAATCAGTGTCTGCTTCCTTCCTTCTGCTCAAGGGCTGATGTCCCGCTGTACTAGTGAAAGACCCTACAGACCCCCTCCTCAAAACCCGTAGCTAGCATGCTCCCGGGGGGAACGTCCTGTTTGCTTTTAAAAAAATTATCCGGATCAGCAGCCAGCCTGCTCCCGTAAGAACATCCCATGTGCCTGAGAGAGCAGGAGATAGAGATAGGAAGACTGCAAGGCAAGATGTCAATAAGATAGGATATCAACAAAGCAGGTTAGCTATAAGATAGGAACAGGATGATTGTTGCCAGGCATCCATGCTGAGAGAGGAAACCATTCGTGGGCGCCCCCCCCCCCCCCCCGCCCCGCTGCATTCCGATAACCACAGTTTTGCTTCTGTAAACTTGCTTTTTGCTCTTCCCTATAAAAAGCCCGCCCTCCAGTTGGCAGGTGCGCAAATCTTCCGAGAGATCTTGCTGCCTGCAGGTACCTGTGTCTACTCAATAAACCTCTTGCGATTTGCATTCATGTGGTCTCGGCCTGTTCCTTGGCGTTGGGGAGGTCTCCTCCCGAAAAGAGGTCCTCATCGAGGGTCTTTCACTAGGAAGTCTTCCTGCCTCATTCACACTATATGGCTTGCTGTCATTGCTGTTTCCAGGCCGTGCTGGGAAATCCTACTGTCCGACATCAACATGGAAGAGATGAGGGAAGACGCTTTCTCCTTGGAGCACGAACCCTTTCTATCTAATTATCCTCAGGACTGTGTCAGGTGGAATAACAGACTTGTTTAGATTTGGACTCACTCTAAAAGAGTGGCAGGTGTCCTTGGGTGAAGCTGGTCTGGGGAAATGCTTAGGTTAAACAGAATAACACTGTGATTCTTATGTTAGTGTCAGACCAGTTCCATCCAGCAGCTGCTACCCCTACACACACACACACACACACACACACACACACACACACACGCTAGAATTAAGTCGCCTAGATTGAGTCCCAGCTTCATGACATTGGTGAACTTGGGCAATCACCCTCTTAGGATGTTTTTCACCTTTTCAGAGGAATGCTCTGAGGATTGAAGGGATTCATTTAAGAGAAGCGCTTGAACAGTACGGGCACAGGGTGGATGATCGTGTGTTTCTGTATGAACACTACCGTTATTTCATTTGTTCATCCAGCTAGCCAACTTGTGTTCACAGATGCACATTGTAGAAATGTCACCAAGCACCAGCTCTGAACTTAAAACTCTAGCTTAGGGGCATCCACAGAAGCGCCAACAGCGGTTGAATTCTGAATACATACTAATTTGCACTCTTCATCCAATGAATTAAATCAACCAAAACCAAAAGGAAAACAAATATATGGTGGTGCACGCCCTTAGTCCCAGTACTCAGGAGGCAAAAGCAGGTAGTTCTGAGTTCAAGGCCAGCCTGGTCTACAGAACAAGTTACAGGATAGCCAGGGCTACACAGAGAAACCCGGTCTTGAAAAAACAGCAACACAAAACAAAAACCGATTTAACCTCCACCCCTGCTCTCTTGTCATTCTCTAAAACAATATTTTCTAGGCATATTCCTCATGGAATTTTCTTCTCACTTTAGTACACTGTATCAGGCTCTTTCTTTTGAGCCACCCACCAGCTATCAGTTCATGATACAGAGACTTATTTGTTTTGAATGCGTGGCCTAATTTAGGCGCATTTCTGGCTAGCTCTTTTAACTTAAATTAACTTGTTTCTCTTATGCTTTGCTTTGGGGCATTTTACCTTTTTTTGCTTTCTTGCTGACTGGTTGGCAGCTGCCTGGCTTCTGACCCTGGGCGTCTCCCTTGTTCTCTCTTCTCTCGTTCTTTTCCCCAGTCTAGAGTTCTCCTCCTATTTATTCCCTCTGTCTGCCAGCCCTGCCCATCCTCTCTCCTGCCCAGCTATTGGCCATTCAGCTCTTTATTAGGCCGATCAGGTGCTTTAGGCAGTCAAGGTGAAACAAATTCAACACATCTTTATATAATTAAACACACGTCCTTACATCATGAAATAAATGCAGCATAAACAAATGTAACACACCTTTACACAGTTAAAGTAATATTCCACAGATAAACAAATGTAACACACCTTTACACAGTTAAAGTAATATTCCACAGATAAACAAATGTAACACATCTTTGCCCACTTAAATATTCCACAACAGTAAAGTCTAAAGAAAGATCAATCCTCATTTCTTTTTCTTCTTTTTTTGGGGGAGGGGTAGTTCAAGACAGGGTTTCTCTGTGTAAAAGTCCTGGCTGTCCTGGAACTTGCTCTGTAGGCCAGGTTGGCCTCGAACTCACAGACATCTGCCTGCCTGCTTCCTGAGTGCTGGGATTAAAGGAGGGTGCCACCACACCTGACTTCAGTCTCATTTCTAGAAAGATTTTGTTTGTTTGTTTTAACTATGTTGATGCATTTGTGTGTGGCTAAGTGCAGTGCCAGTGCAGGTGCCTGCTGCAGTCTCATGTTTCTCTGGAGTCGTAGTTGCAGCAAACAGAACCTGGGTCCTCTGTAACAACAGTATTGGGTTGTAGTTACTAAGTCATCTCTCTAGCCCAGGATCCTATTTGGCAATACAGGGTCTCAGGCATCCCAGGGTTCCCTCAAATTCCACATGTAGTTGAGGATGACTGCAACGTCTCAACCCTCCTGTCTTCGTAAATATGCGGATTGCAGGCATGAGCCAATACACCCAGTTTGGGAACAAACCTATGATCTCTTATGAGAGGCCACCTGAGCCAGTCCTCAAGCCCCTGTTTAATTTCTGTTGTTTTCCTAGAAACAGGGTAAGCTTCAGCCCAGGTTTGCCCCAAACACTTAATCCTTCTGCTTTCGCCTCCTGAGGAATTACAGCCGTGTGCCGCCATACTTGGCTACGTTATTAATTCTCATTCATTTGTGCCATCCTAAAAATGCGGAGCAAGGTGGGAGGGATTGGAGGAGTGAAAAGCATGATCAAATATATTGTATAAAATTATTTTCAATGAAAAAGAATGTTGAGATAATGAAACCTGCTCTTGCATATGGAAGAAAAACCCACAGTTTTGTTTTTTTTGTTGTTGTTGTTGTTTTTTCGAGACAGGGTTTCTCTGGCTTTGGGGCCTGTCCTGGAACTAGCGCTGTAGACCAGGCTGGTCTTGAACTCACAGAGATCCGCCTGCCTCTGCCTCCCGAGTGCTGGGATTAAAGGCGTGCGCCACCACAGCCCAGTTTTAACCTGCAGATTGTGTCAAAAATATCTGGTGATAAGTAGTAGCGACGGCCCAACGGCAGGGGCCAATAACGTGCAGATCCCAACAAAGCATTGCAAGCCGGGCGGATAAGTTTGAGCCTCTGCGGCTCCCGTAGCTCGGTACGGCTGGCCCGGTGTCCCACGTGCTACTTCCGGTTACACGGGACACACGCGTCTAAGCTGTTGCGGAGACTCGGCAGTGACTGGCGGAGCCTGCGATTTCCACCAGCTGCTCGCCTGGAGCTCGTCTGCAGCCACCATGTCGGGCAGGAACAACAACAAGCTGCCCAGCAACCTGCCGCAGTTACAGAACCTGATCAAGCGGGACCCGCCGGCCTACATCGAGGAGGTGGGACTGCTCCCTGGGGTCCTCCCGGAGGCTTCCGGGGCCCTCGGGAGGAGAGCGGGGTGTGGGGAGGGAACGCTCCCGGGGACTCGCTTCCCACCGCTTACAAACCTGCCGCCCTGCGGACCCCACTGCCATTGAAACACTCTTTAAGACCTGTTGCCTCCGGGTTTATGCAGCCGCCCCGCCGAGGTGCCGAGGGCCGAAGAGGCTGCGCCCCAGACACTCTACATTAGTCCCTGAGATTTGATGAGCCGTGTTTAATTTAAAGGTGCTATCCACAGACGGCCGCTCCCGAGTGCCCCAGGCTCTGCCAGGAAGAGCAGAGAGTTTCAGATGCCTGGGCCGCCGTCAGATACTTAGAAGGTGCAGTTAAGCCAGGGTTGAAACTCACTGGGAGGGAGCCAGCTAGAGTTGAGAAGATGCTTTGGGAAAAGATGAGGTCGGTAGTGACATTAGGCCCACGCTGTGAGGGACTTAGCACTTCAAGTGTGTGACTGAGAAGAGACGAAATGAAAGGGGTAACTTTGTGCTGTTAACCTGGTAGACTCTTCAGACGCGCGATTGTCTTAGAAGCATTAAACCCTCATCTCAGCCGGCTGCCATTAGGTTCCTTCGACACTGTGCTTTTGGTTTTGAGTAGATAACTCAGCTCTTCTTTTAGTGGTTCTTCTCCAAATTTGTGTATCTTTCCCTGTGAATACTGATGCGATTGTTTTTGCCAAAACAGAGTACCGAACAACAAAGTGGCAACAGGCACGGCTTTCCAATGGCCCGAGTCCTGTTATTCACAGCCGAGTGAGTTAAGAGTTCCTGCAGCTCTTTTTCCCTTATTAATTTTGTGAGTTAACTTGCAGAGTGGTGGGTTTCATTTCAACACTTTTATACATACATGCTGTGTTTTGTTCTTATGTGTCCTCCTTCTATGCTACCCTTCCCAGTCTTCCCAGTCCCCTTCTTAATGGTCCCCTTCCTCTCCCCAAACAACCCTTGCTTTTGTATTGATGTCAAATATATCTCAGTTCCCTGCACCCTTTTAGGATCTCTTCCTTCTGGGGAGTTGACTCTGGTCAAGAGCACTGATTGCTTTTCCAGAGGACCCAGGTTTGGTGTCCAGCATCTACCTGATGGTGCATAACCATCTGTAACTCCAGTTTCAGGGGATCCTACATCCTCTTCTGGCCTCTGGACACGTGTGTAGACATACATACATGTAGGCAAACATTCAATACACATTAAAAAAAAAAAGAATCTCTTCCCATATTCCCTTTTCTGATGTGTCACAAATGAAAATTTAAATCCAAATTCTTCTTATGAGAGGAAACATGGGCTATCTCTGAGTCTGGCTTATTTTCTTAACATAACGATTTCCTCCCAATGTCATGGTTTCATTGTTGCTCCTGGGTGGGGAAAAAAAAGTGTGTGTACCAAATTTTCATTCCACAGTCTTCTGTTGGTGAACACCTAGGCTAGTTCTGTTTCTTGGCCATAGTAGGTAGTATACCAGTAAACACCAATGTGCAAGTTTATCTGTGGTATTTGATTGGATTCCTTTTGTTAATATACTCAGGAGTGCTATAGCTAAGCAATATGGAAGGTCAGTTTTTAGTTTTTCCATAGTGACTATTTCCATTAATTATACGTACATATATATCATTATATATATACATATATATATTGTAACACACACACACATACATTTCTGTTTTCCCACGTCCTTCCAGCCTTTGTCCCTATTTTTCCCCTGCTGACAGCCATCCTGACTGAGGTGAGATAGTCTCAGATGATTTTAATTAATTTGCATTCCCCTGATGGCTAAGGATGTTGCGCGCTTTTTCAGATAGTTATTGGCCATTTGCTTTTCTTTGGAGCACTGTCTGTTCGGTTTGTTAGTCTGTTTGATTGGAAGATTTGTTTTGAAGTTTAATTTATATGATTCTTTATATATTCTACCTAGCAGTCTTATGATTGACTAGGGGCAAAGCTTGTTTCTGCTGTCTTGTAGGTTTTCCTCACTGGGCTGATTTTCCCTTTGCTGTACAGAACTTTTTTTTTAATTGCACACACGCCCATTGATCAGTCCTTTGTGCTGTTGGAGTCCTTTCAGAAGGCAATTAAGAACCACCTGTTTCACAGCTGACCCAAAGCTCTGGTTCTGTTTTTGACTAGTTGTGTACCCAAAGAAGGCTAAGTAACAGCTTTTGTATTTTAATATTCAAGAAGGTAATCACCTCCTCCATTCATTTTGAGTATATGTGCAGATCCACGCATGCACACAGTTTAATATGGCAATACATTTCTAGACATGGAGGATATGGGGACAAATAGGACATGATTGAGCCTTGTCTTTTTGGACTTCCATTCTAAGGAGGACAGTGCATGTGTAAGGTAAGGGCTGGAGAAGGTAACCCTGGGTGAGAGCATTAGAAGAGAAGGCTACTGACTCTCGTGAGTGGGGAAGCCTTTTCTGCAATGGTGGTGTGAGCCCAGCGGATCAAAGCATTCTAGGCAGGAGTAGGACTGGCAGACTGTTGTGGAAAGAAATGAAGCAGGAACGCCTGTTATCCCTTAAGTGTAGTGTGGGGTGTTAGATGGTGGTAAGCAGTTTGGATTTGACTTTTGGTGTTTCTGGGAACCATTGAGGATTTAAATCAACTGGGTACCAAGCATGGATAGTTCTTGAAGTTTTCCTGACAAGAAGAAGGGGAAATGGAGTGGAAGCCAGAGAGTGGAGTGGGATCCAAAGTTTCTCATTACATGGTGGAAGGAATGACATTCCGTGAACTACGGCTAGGGCGGAGATTGAGGCGAGATTTAGGACTAAGTGGGCCAGTCAAGGGTGAGAAAAGGAGTCCATTTGGAAGGAGAGTAGCACTCTAGAAGGTAGCATTAAGGAACAAAGAGGACACATACTGACTCGGCCATGGTGCAAGAAAATGATGTCGCAGTGCTGGATGAAGGAGCCATCTGTGGTCACTGGGAGAATCAGGATGACTGGGCTACTTCAAAAGTCCTGGTTGCCCGACTTTACCCTCAGAGTTCTGGGATACTGGTGTGGAGGTTAGAATGAGAGGGATGAGGAGAGAGTGGAGCTTTGGGCATTGTGATGACGGATTTGCATGAAGGACAGAATGGGCTTGGTCCTCCTCATGTCAAGGCAGACACTGGTAAGTGGGCCCTGGTTGGAGCATTGAAGGAACTGGGAGCAGGATTGGGTTAGGAACGTGAAGAGTTTGGGTGTCAGTGGTGATAGGGGGACAGGTGAGAGGTCACAGCTGAAGCATGGTGTTGGCCTTTTAACTCTTAAACTCCGAGAAACTGTGGGGACTAGGAAAGCCTGATGACTAAGAAGTGCTCTCGTAGCCGGGCAGTGGTCGCATGCCTTTAAACCCAGCATTTGGGAGCAGAAGCAGGCGAATCTCTTTGAGTTCAAGGACAGCCAGGGCTATGTAACACAGTGAAACCCTAACTAAAAAAATAAAGTTCTCTGTGTGTGTTTGAATGTAATTGGCCCCCATAATCTCATAGGGAGTGGCACTATTAGGAGATGTGGCTTTGTTGGAATGGGTATTGCCTTGTTAGAGGGACTGTGTCACTGTGGAGGTGGGCTTTGAGTTTTCCTGTGCTCAGGATACTTGCCAGTGTCTCCATCAACTTCTTGTTGCCCGCAAGATGGAGGACTCTTAGCTCCTCCAGCACCACAGCTGCCTGTGTGGCACCAGGCTCCTCAGAAACTAGCCACCTCAGTTAAATGTTTTCTTTGTAAGAGTTGCTGTGGCCATGTGTCTCTTCATAGCAGTAGAAACCATAACTAAGACAGTATGTGAATGTGTGTGTGTACTTGTCACACAGTTAAGCATAGGGACTGTGGGAAGCTGGGGTGTAGTTCAGCATGGAACACTTCTCTAGCACACTCGAGGGCCCTCAGTTCCATCCCCAGCAGCAAATATGGACGACAATAACTATAGGGCGTGGACCTGAGGCTTGACTCCAGTTCCAGTTCCAGCAGTAAACTGGCTTGTTTGTTGGGTCAGATGAGGCTGTGTATATCATGAACCTGGCACAAACGAAGTGCTTAGTAAGTTGAAGCTGTGGCTTTATTCTTGTTCCTTCTGTCTTTTACCCTTGGCTTTGTTGTTTTGGGGTTGGGGTCAGGTGGGATTGGCGTATGCACACATGTGCCTCGTGTGGGGGCCATGGGAGGATGTTGGATGCCCTAGATTCTCATTCTGCCCAGTGTCATCCTTTTCCTGGTTCTGAGCTAAGCTAGTATTCGGTACGCCCCAGAGATCCTGCTGTCTCCATCCCTCACACGGGTGTGCATGGGTGCTGACGTCCACATTCAGGTCCTCAGGCTTGCACAGCCAGCACTCCAACTACTAAGCCATTTTTCCAGCCCTGTCTTGGGTGACGATGATGATTCTTCTTCTTCCTCTCCCCCTTCTTCTTTTCTAGCTTTAAGAAACTGTGTTGAGTGTCTCGGCTGCATGTACTATGTGCACGCATCCCTGTTACCCTCGGAGCTTTGAAGAGGGTGTCTGATCCCATGGGACTGGAATTGTGATGGTTGTGAACCATTGTGTAGGTGCCAGGCAGTGAACCAGGCCCTCTGCAAGAACAAGCGCTCTTGCGCTCTGTCTTTGGTTCTTAGCATCTCTGTCTAGGGCTCCAGCATGAAGCTTCCGTGGTATTTAAGAGGGTGACTGACTAGAAGGTGTCATGTCCTTCAGGTGTACTCCACACTTAGTGACCTGGCATCTTCCTGCTGATCCAGGTGCCCTTCATACACAGGTCATGTAATGTCAATGGCAGAACAAGGCCAGAATCTGAGTTCCTGACTCCTGTTCACACTGTCTCATATACCTAGGTCTTTTTCTCTGTACCACTGGCAAAGGTGTGTGCCAGCTTGTTACTCTGTATAAAAGAGTGTGACAAACTCTGTTCTCTTTTCCCCTACAGTTCCTCCAGCAGTATAATCACTATAAATCCAATATGGAGATTTTCAAGTTACAGCCAAATAAACCCAGCAAAGAACTGGCAGAGCTGGTGATGTTTATGGCACAGGTAAGAAGGTGATTTCTCAGTGAGACGAACAAGGTGCAGACTACCACCACCCCACCCCATCCCTGGTGATTTCTCAGTGAGATGGACAGTGAGGTGCAGACTACCACCATCCCACCCCACCCCACCCCACCCCACCCCACCCGTGTTTTCCAGCCTTTGTGTGGAAACTTAAATTTTTCTAAAGCCTTCCCTTTTGTAGCTCTTTTCTTCCTAAGATAGTTTAGAGAATTTTATTGAATTTTTAACACAACCAACCAGAACAAAAATTGATCAAAAAAATTTTTTTAATTCGTCATACAGGCAGGTTCTCAGTGTGCTCCATGCATTTTGCCAAAACTACTGGAACAGTGAAAGTAGTAGAAAAATTACATGCAGGGAAAGCTGTCGATTGAGAGTTCTCTGCCTCCGAACCAGCCCTTCCCTGAGTGCCGCTGAAGTAGGGGAGAAAAGCCGCACTGACAAGAGCCCTGCTTTCTTACAGATTGCCCACTGCTACCCGGAACATCTCAGTAGCTTCCCACAGGAGCTGAAGGAGCTGCTCTCCTACAACCACACCGTCTTGGACCCGGATCTCCGCATGGTAGGAGCGTTCAAAGGTCCTGTGCATGCGATGATGGCGAAGTGAGAGCACCTCCAGCGAACGTCTCTGCAGCGCCTGGGGAGAGCAGATGGGACGTGCACGCTGCGTTTCCTCTTTTGATTAACTTCACCCTCAGCTTAGTATGTTTTCTTTTCCTCCCCTAGACATTTTGCAAAGCGTTGATCTTGCTGAGAAATAAAAATCTCATCAATCCATCGAGTCTGCTGGAGCTCTTCTTCGAGCTTCTGCGCTGCCATGACAAGCTCCTGCGGAAGGTAAGGAGCGGGTTTGTTCCCTGCGTTCCTCTCCTGAGCTGACATAGCTGAGTTCAGAGTTGCGGAATTGTTGACTTTGTTTGATAGGGTGACAGAGCTGGTCCTTCAGCAGGAGCAAACATCATACATGCAGTTTAGTACTGATAACCAGCACTTGCTGAATGCCACTCTGGACTAGCCCTTCATCTCAGGCTTCAGGTATACGCTTATTCACAAAAACCTGAGCTAGAAATCTTCATTGTTAATGCTTCACAGACAGAGGCAGACGGGTTGAAGCACAGCAAGTGACTTGTCTCTGGTCAGACGGCTTCCACATGTATGGAACGGACGCTTAAAAGAAATCCCACACTAGCTCAGAATTGAGAAATAGATGATTATTTATTTAGCGGTAAACTCACAAATCAAAATTCTCTGCTTGAACAGAGAACAGAGATCGAATCCAGCAATCCGAAAGAGCAGCTAGGGAAGAAGGGGCAGACGCAGGCTCTGCATCTGCATTATAGCATAGGAGGCCATGCCCCATTAGGTGTAACCACAAACTGTAAGGCTTCCTACAGCACACGTGCAGGGCTAGACCATGAACCCTAGTCTCTTCATGACTTTGTTGTGCTGGACATGAGGGCACACACACACCAGCTGGAACCAACCCTCACAATAAAACTTTTTTGTTGCAATAGCATTTTTCTATACCTGTATATTTGCTTAAGATAAGAGCTGAAGGCTTATAAAACAAATTTCAGAAAGAAAAAACTTAAGTTTGTATTCATTAAGTTAATCCCTCATACCAAATGTCAGGAGACTACTCTATTTGATTTGATCATTTGTAGTCGTGGTCTCCATGGGACCGTGTTTTGGGACTAGTGAAGTTTATAGTCGGAACTATTTTGCATTCAGTCAGATGCTTGCTCCTCTTTACAAAAAGTTAGGAACTAGAGAGGTGACTCAGTGTTAGCACTGCTGCTCTTCCCGAGGATCCAAGTTCAGTTCCAGCACCCACGTCAGGCAGTGAGGACCATCAGTAACTTCAGCTTCAGGAACCTGACACCTCTGGCCTCCGTGGCACCCACACTAATGTACACATACCCACATGCAGGCACACATAACTATATATAGTTAAACATAATAAAATACACCTTTTGCCGGGCGATGGTGGCGCACGCCTTTAATCCCAGCACTCGGGAGGCAGAGGTAGGCGGATCTCTGTGAGTTCGAGACCAGCCTGGTCTAGAGAGCTAGTTCCAGGACAGGCTCCAAAGCCACAGAGAAACCCTGTCTCGAAAAACAAAAAAAAACAAAAAAAAAAAAACAAAAAAAAATACACCTTTTTATATTCAGCCATAGTTATAGTTAATGCATTTTTTAAAAAAGATTCCTTTTTATTTGTGTAGGTGTTTTGCCTACGTGTGTATGTGTACTACATACATTCATTGCCCACAGAGTCCAGAGAGGGTGTCAGGTCCGCTAGAACTGGAGTTACAGACAGTTGTGAGCCACCATGTGGGTACTGGGAACTGAACTTGGGTTCTCTGCAGAAGCAGCCAGTGCTCTTACATCATCCATCTCTCTGGCCTTCTGTGCTTTTTGTTTCTGGGTTTCTGGCAGTGTTGGAGATTAGTCCAGAGCCTTGCGGTTGCTAGAAGTACTCTTTGACTAAGCTGCATCCCAGCCCTTGAGTTTTTCAGACAGGGGTCTCGCTGTGTAGTCAGGCCTGAACTTGACCTTGTTGTAATCCAGATGCGATGCCTTGAACAGTCTTCCTACCTCTGTCTCAAGAGTGCTACAGGATCACATAGTTTTGCCTGTTCCTGTTCCTGGTGTTTCACCTAAGTGGAGTCATACATTGTTTTTTGTGGCTGTCTTCTTGTACACAGTGGTGTATGTTTGTATCCTTTTCGTTACTAAATATTCCATTGTATTCCCCTGCCGCATGTTTACCCATTCGTCAGTGCTGTTCAGCCAGTGGGTGTTTGGGTTGCTTCTCCTTTTTGCCTGTTGTAAACAAAGGATTGTGACTGTTTTTAGAACGGGTAGGGGGTGGGTTTTCTTTTCTCCAGGGTAGACTCGTTCATTTGGTAGTTCCACTCATATCCCCTGGAGGGCAGCTTTACCTTTAGCTGTTTGTTGCTTCTTTTTTAAAAAAAAATAATTTATATAACTTTATGTGCATTGGTGAAAGGTCTCAGATCTCCAGGAACTGGAGTTACAGACAGTTATGAGCTGCCTTGCCATGTGGGTGCCGGGAATTGAACCCCTGTCCTCTGGAAGATTAACTAATGCTTTTAAGAGCTGAGCCATCTCTCTAGCCCGAATGTTTGCCTCCTTTGGCTCTCTTCTGTTATAGAATGAAATAGGAAAAGCAAAGTTGTCCTGTGCGTTGGTGCGTTTCTCCGAGATGAGAAATGCTCATCTGTTTCATGTGTGGGCTTTGTCTCCTCAGACGCTGTACACACACATCGTGACCGACGTCAAGAACATAAACGCCAAGCACAAGAACAATAAAGTGAATGTGGTAAGTGCCCTTCCTTCTTGTACTCGAGGCTTTGTGCCGTCTGCATTGAGTCCTCATCCTCCTCGTTCCCCAGGTGCTGCAGAATTTCATGTACACCATGCTGAGAGACAGCAACGCGACTGCAGCCAAGATGTCGCTGGATGTCATGATCGAGCTCTACAGAAGGAACATCTGGTAACACAGGAGTTTTTCCATGAGAGACAGACACACGCATGGTCTGTAGGCAGTTTAGGTGCATCTTTAATTAGAGATGGGTGTGAGGGGCACAGCCCACGGTGGGCAGGTGCTCCTGAGTTATCTAAGAAAGCGGGTTGAGTAATATGAGGAAGAAATCCGATAAGCAACCCTCCTCGGGGGCCCCCGCTTCAGCTGTGGTTGAGATTTTGCAGAGTTTTCAAGTGTGTGTGTGTATGTGCGCGCGCGGGAGTGCACAAGTGTACGTGAGCACGTACGTGCACATGCGTGTGTGCCCCCTTCAAACTTGACGTCCTATTGCTGTCTTCCTCAGTTGCTCCTTACCTTATACCTGGTACAAGGTTTCTCAGTGGAACCTAGTTGACTCAGTTGAGCGAGCCGGCTTGCTGTGGGGGTCCCGGGTCTGCCAGCAGACAGGCCGCCATGCCCCCTGACGGGAGCCCTGGATCGGAACTCCGGTGCTCATACTCACATGAGCACTCTCCTAACCAGCCGTTCCTCCAGCTCTGGGTTTGCTGTATTGTTTTCTCCTCTGAGTTGTTGGCATTTTTGTTTTTTCTTTTTTTAACACTTATCCTGTGGCACCAAATATTCTTCACATTGATGGCTTCAAGCTTTGTGATGAAGTTTTGTACCTATGCGGTCTCATTTAGGGGTTTGTCACTTTAAGTCCTAGAATTGGCCATCCTAATGTCAGAAGGACTCATTGTTCTGTGCTGTTTTCTCTTCCAGGAATGATGCTAAAACTGTCAATGTTATTACAACTGCCTGTTTCTCCAAGGTCACCAAGGTGAGCTGTAGGGCTATCTATTGCTGAGGGTGAAGTGGAGCTGGGTATGTCGGGAGGAGATGGCTGCCATTTACTCCGTCATGCTTTACAAATTCTGGAGTTGTAGCTGACTCGTCTAAAGTGTGAGCCAGGAAAGCGACTGTAAAAAGAACCACCAGCCAACTGAACTGCATTATATCCCCCTGTGATAGCCGGCGTTTTTTCTGTGGGCTCTGGCCTGGTTGAGAGAAACTCAGAGAGCATGTGGCTTGTCAGAAGGGCTGTGACGGCTCCTTTCTTGGGATGCGGAGATTCTCTGCAGTCTACCTGAAGGGTGATTGTATAGAGCCTGAAGGTCACTTCTGTTTGTTGATTTAAGTCCGTGTTTATCAATGGGTACGAGTGTCTGAAGACGTGATTAGATGCCCCAGGTGTGGCACCAGTGCCTTAGCTACGCGTGTGCTGGGAGGCCCGCTGCCCTTCCGTTTGTCCAGGAGAGGGCTGACCTCTCCTTTCATGTGATATGTGCCTGACAGTTCTTTATCAAATAAATGATTGGTTTTGGGGGATCCTGGGTGTGGAAACCCGGGATTGGGCTTACTCTCAAGCGTGTTTGCTGCCCTTGAGCTGTGTCCCTCGCCTCATCCTAGTGACGGATGTTATTGCGCGTCTGTGAAACAAGCGGCCCTCCTTCCCACCCTTTGAGACTTTTTCTTCAGACACAGCAGTCTACGCATGTGGGGTGGAAGTGTAGGCATAAGTCTGTCTGTTCTTGGCCGGGTACTTTGACTTGTTTCTTGTTGGTCTTTAGATATTGGTTGCTGCTTTGACCTTCTTCCTTGGGAAAGATGAGGAAGAGAGACAGGACAGTGACTCGGAATCTGAGGTGGGTTGAATGCAGGGCCTTAGAGTTGTTGCTCCGCTGAGTTCAGTCTGTCAGACCTTTAGATGCTGACTCTGAAAGGACAGACGTGACACTGCCTAGAGAGTTCTGCCGGGCCGACGCTTCAATTCAAAACGTTTGTTCCTTATTCCTCTTATTTATTAGCAAGACTGACTGAAATGTGGCTCAGGTTCACTCGCCCCTGCTCTGCGCTCTGAGCTGTTTCTACCTGTACATGTTTAACCTTAGAGGAAGAGAAGATGCCGGCAGTTTTGGGGTGGTCCCAACATCACAAACGTAGGACAGAAGAGTCTTTAAAATTATTGCGGTGTGGGGGCTGGAGAGATGGCTCAGCGGTTGAGAGCGTTGCCTGTTCTTCAACAGGACCTGAGTTCAATTCCCCAGCAACCACATGGTGGCTCACAACCATCTGTAATGAGATCTGGCGCCCTCTTCTGGCCTGCAGGCATACATGAAGGAAGAATACTGTATACATACTAAATAAATAAAGCTTAAAAAATTTATTTAAAAAAAAATTACTGCGGTGTCTTTAAAATCGAAGAAGTAAAAAGATATATTCTAAAAACACATACGTGCAGGACTAGAGCGGTGCCCTAGTGGTAACAGGCACTTACTGCTCCTGTAGAGGACCAGAGCTGGGTTCCCAGCACTCATGTTGAACACCTACAGCTGTGTGTGACTCCAGCTCCAAGGGGCTGAACACCGCTCTGTTCTCTGTAGGGATCTGCAGGTTCGGGTGCACATGCACACAAATACAAATTAATAATTTTAGCATTGTGGTAACTAAACCAGGATCTCCTGGTAACTTCTTACTATATTTCATTGTAAAAACTTTGAGATAATTTAGACAAAGTAAGGGGTTTTCTTGACTTTTGGTTATTTCTGTCATATTTCCTTCCTCCCAGGTAACCGTTTTGTTTCCAGTGCATTTATGTTTGTACAGAAAGTCCTGTGTAAGCATTTAGCAGCTGTATGTATCATGTACACACTACAGTGTGCTTTGTGTCAGTGTATGCAGATGCATTTTGTTTAGATCTGTGAATATTCCAGAATATTTCAGAATATGAATGTATTATACTTTAAGCGTTCTTCTATTGATGAATACATTTCCAGTTTCCTACAAATAAAAGCAACATTGTATCTGTATATCATACTGAAATGAAGGATGCAAAAATCATTGCTGTAGGGAAAATGTGTGGTCTGTTTTTGCATATGTGTGCTGATTTCCTGATTTTTAAAAGGTTGTATTCATTAGTGGGTGTGTGAAAAAAGTCTAAGAATCAAAATTAGGGGCCAGAGAGGTGGCTCAGCTGATACAAGCACTCATGGAGCAATTCCATTGACCTGAGCTGAGTCTGTAGAAGCCATATTAAACAACCAGACTCCTGTAAATCCAGCTCCTGGCCACTGAAGGCCTCTAGTCTACGTGGACACCTACACTCTCATGCACATGCTCACAACAGACACACACATACACATAAATAAAAATTAAATAAATCTTTAGAACAAAACTGAATGTAGTTGGGAGGCCTATACACTGCTCCTGTGCAGATTTTCCTTGTTCCCAGTTTCCCAGTGTACTTTGTTCTTTAGGATGAAGGACCCACGGCAAGAGACCTGCTGGTGCAGTATGCCACGGGGAAGAAGGGCTCCAAAAACAAGAAGAAGTTGGAAAAGGCAATGAAAGTGCTGAAGGTGAGGTCCGTGCCTGGAAACTGCAGTCAGATCCTCAGAGTGTGGAGTATGCATGGGTTTTTTTTTGCCTGCTAAGGTTTTGAGAGAGAGAAAGAGCATTGAAAACAAACAAACCTTAGAAATGGATGGTGAGTTGTAAGCACTGACATTTTAGATAAATAGGTTATGTTCAGCTCTGACTGGTCAGTAAGCTCCTGGAATCTACCCATCTCTGCCTTCCCAGAGCTTGAGTTATAAAATAGACCACCGCATCCCTCTTGGTGCTGAGGATGCAAACTCTGGTCCTCGTGCTTGCATGGTGTGGTGCTAGTATTTGCATCTTTAAATTTCTGTCTCACACATTTTCATAGCTGATATATTTTCAAAGCTTTTTTGTTGTTGGTATTGTTTGTTTGGTTGGTTTGGTTTAGTTTTTTTGAGTCAGGGTATCACTATGTAGCTAACTCTGGCTGTGCTGGAACTCACTCTGTAGACCAGGCTGGCCTTGAACTCAGAGATCCACCTGTCTCTGCCTTCAAAGTGCTGAGATCAAAGATGTGTGCCACCACACCTGGCTTCTTGCAAATGAAAAGAGGTTTTTAGAACAAGAATTTTTCTTTTGAGCTAGTTTAACGGGGGCAGGGAAATGGCTCAGTGGATAAGAACTCCACTGTGCAAGCATGACCACCTGAGTTCAGACATCCAGCACAAGCCAGATGTGGCTGTGCACATCTGTAAGCCTAGGTCTGGTGGGACAGGAGACCGGTGAGTCCCTGGAATTGGTAACCAGTCAGCCTTCCTAGAAACAGCAAGTCCAGGTTCAGTAAGAAACCCAGTCTCAGAAAGACAAAGAACACTGACACATTCCCCTGCTGGGCACATAGCACACAGTCAGTCTTGGACTGCTAATGGCTCGGGACACAGTTTGAGGACTGGCTAATTCATAACCGAGGGGTTTTGAATGGGTTTCTGTTCTCTTTCAGAAACAAAAGAAGAAGAAGAAACCAGAAGTGTTTAACTTTTCAGCTATTCATTTGATTCATGATCCCCAAGGTACCATAATTACTGCTTCTGAGTTCCTTGTTGGCCTTATCACTTCCTGTTAACTTACTACTCTTTAGACCAGTTTTTTTTTTTAATTGAGTTACCTCGGAAACTGGGTAAAGTACAGATTCTGGTTCATTAGGGCGTAGGTGTGGCTTTGGAGTCTGCACTTCCAAGAAAGTCCTGGTAGGTTGGCTGCTGGTGGCCTGCAGAGCACACTCTCAGAAGCAAACTATCCACTATAGAGGTCGGTGCACAGCATCTCGGGAATCTGCGTTTAGGAAGATGTGTGTATACACATGCACAAATATGCACGAAACAACAATTAATGGAAACAGGCCAGGAACGGTATATGGGAAGGAAGGGGGAAATGATATGATTATAACCTCAAAAGCTAAAAGAAATTATTTTAAATATGTATTTTAGGAATCCAGGGCTCTGAAGAGTTGCTCTAGCGACTAAGAGCACTGGCTGCTCTTGCAGAGGACCCAAGTTTGCTTTCTGGCACCCATGTTGGGTGGCACACAATGCCAGCCTGACTTTAAGGGATCCTCTGAATGTGTGCACATATGTGCATATACATGCATATACATAAATAAAATAAGTAACTAGTCTCTAACAAGTGTTCAAAATCACCTTGAGTGTTGGCACAGCACTCAGGAGGCAGAGGCAGACAGATCCCTGAGTTCTACGGGCCAGCCTGCTCTACACAGTGAGTTCCAGGGCAACTAAGGTTATGTAGTGAGACCCTGTCTAAAAAAAATCTTAGGAGGGCTGGAGAGATGGCTCAGAGGTTAAGAGCATTGCCTGCTCTTCCAAGGGTCCTGAGTTCAATTCCCAGCAAACACATGGTGGCTCACAACCATCTGCAATGGGGTCTGGTGCCCTCTTCTGGCCTGCAGGTATACAGACAGAATATTGTATGCATAATAAATAAATAAGTAAATAAATATTAAAAAAAAATCTTAGGAATTCTTAAGATGAATTTGGGTACCGTATTTGATCTCCTCGTGTCATGCCCTTTCCCTGTGCCTGTTAAGTGCTGTCTGCAGCCATGAACCCATAGTTCTCTGATTGTTTCCTTCCAGACTTTGCGGAGAAGCTCCTGAAGCAGCTGGAGAGCTGTAAGGAGAGGTTTGAAGTGAAGATGATGCTCATGAACCTCATCTCCAGATTGGTGGGGATTCACGAGGTGTGGACTGTGCTGCTGCTCTGGGGATGTTAGCAGTTACGTAGAATGATGGTTTAAGTTTTAATCCTCAAAGCCATTTGCACAGTTAGAATCGGCAGAGAATCCAGCCTTCCTGTCTGAAAACAGCTGCTTTTATTTACCACTCATTCCTCTCCAGCGTGTGTGGTGCTGACCTATGCACATTCAGTTCACGTGGAGCCATCACGGGCTCCCTCTTGTTACTTCCACATGTGTGTTCCTGAGCCAGGATAAACGACATACTAATATTGATTCTTGCTGCTTTTCAGTGTGCCTAACCCTTCCTGATATTAACTTCCAGGTGTCTCTGGTAGGGGTTGTACGTTTGCAAAGCTGGGATCCCTGGGTATTTTTTGGTATTGAGTTAGATTGCAAGAGCTCCTTGGTGGTGTTTGTGTGGATACTTTCAGAGTAGCTACATTTAAAAAGGATCACAAAGTGACCCTTGAAAGTGTTCTCTTAACTGCTTTATTTTTTTTCTCTTATGTGTATGGGGGTTTTGCCTGCATGTACTTTTGTGTAATACGTATGTTCAGTGCCCATGGAAACCAGAAGAGAGCATTGGCTCCTCTGGGACCAGAGTTTCAGATGGTTGTGTTTCTCCATGTGGGTGCTGGGAGCGCGAGGTCCTCTGGAAGAGCATCCAGTGCTTTTAACGCTTGAGCCATCTTTCCAGCCCGGTTTTCTGACACAGATGTCAAGACTGGTTCTGTTGTGAGATTGTTCAACATGCTGGTTTCTTGATCACACATACAGAGTTCATAGTTCTTCCTGCAGCGTGGCTGGACTAGAGGAGAGCCAGACTGTCAGGTCAGGGCAGTCTGACAGCACTGGGGCCACTCAGTCTAACCCTGCTCTCACCCCAGGGGCTTTAGGACCAGTGCTGCTCCTGCTCTGCCTCCCTTCCGTGAACACCAAGACAGAGCCCTACAGCCAGGCCAGGGTCAAAACTAGAAGAGGGCTGGGTTTTGTTAGCCTTTCCCTGCTTTGTCTGCTCTTTCTCTCACCTGGTGAGATAGCAGGATAGTGCTGGGGAGAGAATTCTTTCCCTGGGTTACTGCAGCGCATTGAATTCACCTGTGGTGGGATCGCTTACTGAGACTAAAATGAGTCAAAGTGATTCCCAGTACATTTATCTTGGTAATGAAATGTCATGCTTAAGTTTCATAAATATTGAAGTCAGTACATTCTTCTCTCCACAGCTTTTCCTCTTCAACTTCTACCCTTTTGTGCAAAGGTTTCTGCAGCCCCACCAGAGAGGTAACGTGCCTGTGTGTCTGATCCTTGGCTGTGCCCTAATAAGTGGCAAGTCTGTTCTATTGTCATTAAGGACAGATAGCGTTGTGTGTTTTATATAGAGAAAAGAAAAATGGAAGGCTGATGTTGGAGGATCAGGACCTCAGGTCAGCCCTAACCACACACATATCCCCTATTTTTAAAAAATAGTAAAGATGAATTCTTGATTGCAAGTCTTTTTGTAATATAAATTCTGTCAAAAATTCTAGTTTGGGGGCTGGAGAGGCGGCGCCTAAGTTAGGAGCACTATACTACTCTTGCAGAGGACCTGTGTCCACTCCCACGCCCACATGGTGGCTCACAACTGTCTATAACTACCGTAGGAGATCTTCTGCCCTCTTCTGCCCTCCACAGGCACCACACATGCATGTGGTACACACATACATGTGTAGGCAAAACATCCATACACATAAAAAATAAATAAATTGTAAAAAAAAAAAAAAAAAAAGGACCTAGTTTTCCCCTTTAACTGTAGCATTGTAGTTACAATTAACATTGTAGTAACATGCCTTTGGTTACTGGTCTCCATGGCCCCGTGTGCCTTCTCTGTTAGCAATGATGCAAAAGCAGGGAAAGACGGTTGCTTGTTTTGCCCAAACAGGAAGTGGACATTTGAACATCTGACACGAACCTTGCACTGTGCTAAGTGCTTTCTGTAATCACTCGATGAAATTGATAAGTGGCCTCTTTGAAGTTCAGAAAGTGACCACGGTCATTCAAATGAGTGACAAGTCAGCTTTGCCTCTTTCCCAAAGGCCTCCTTTGTTTTTTTTGTTTTTGAAGCGGGGTCTCTAGCCCAGGCTGGAACATCAGAGGGCCTCCTGCATGGGCCTCTCGTAGGCTACACTTAGAGGCATGAGCCACGCGCCTGGTCCAAAGGCCTGTTCTTTCCATGGACTATGCAGCCTCTTGGAAGAGAGTGTGTTCACACATGTGCGTTTGTGTCTGTCCAACAGATGTTTGTTTGGTGACTTATTTGATTAGTTTGCTGCTTGAGACCAGATTTGGTGTGTAGCCGTGGCTGGCCCCAGTCGCGGGGTCCTACTGTCTCTGCTGCCACTCCTAAGTGTTAGGACTGTACGTGTGAGCTGCCACACACAGCCCGCACAGAGCCCAAGAGCTGAGGTCATGGTGACCATAAGGCAGAGTCCTTGACAGCGCAGTGTATAATATCCAGGTCAAGGGTTTGGAAGAGAAAAGCAGAGTAAGGGCAATGGTGGGTATGGGGGCAGATGCTCTGTTAGCCTGTGCAATCACGGAGGGCAGAACAAAAGACCTGAAGAAGCCCAGAGGTGAGCCCAGGACATAGGTAGGGGTTGGTCTTCGGGTGAAGTAAGTTAAGTGATGGCCATGCGATAACTGAGTTTGCTTGCCATGTTGCTGTAGTCCTTGGAGGCAGATGATAATGTGTATGCTTTCTTGTCTCTTGTGCTTTCAGAAGTCACGAAGATCCTTCTGTTTGCTGCACAAGCCTCTCATCACCTGGTGCCACCAGAGGTGAGAACTCACTACGACCTCCAGAATAGGGACATGGAGCACGCACGCACACAGATCCAGTGTAGTGCGGTGCTGCCACCCAGGTCCAGAGTGTGCAGTGCTGCTGCTGGGCATATTAGGGTTTCTTCCCAGAGTTGCTGTCTCTCCTATTCCCTTTCCATGAACAGAGGAAACCTAACTCCTAAGGAAATGTGATAGAAGTTAGCTATACAGTTCATAGAAGGGGAACAAGCTGAGGATTCTGACTTTAACAACCAAATTATGTATGTCTCGGAAGGTCCAAGAGTATTTATAACTTCATGGTGATTATTGTTTAAGCTGATAATTCTTTGATTAACATTGAATTATCCTGTGTCAAAGCAAAGTTTTGTTTTGATAGTATCATTTTTAAAAACAATGTAATGGAATATGTGCAGTAAGAAAGCGGAAGTAGCTGGGCACCAGCACTCAAGAGGCAGAGGCAGGCGGATCTCTGAGTTGGAGGCCTAGAGTGTTGAGGTCAGTAGAAAGGAGAGAGCTGTTTCATTGAGGGATAAGATGAGAATTGGCTCCTGCAAATTCTCCTTTGACCTCCACACATGTGCCCTAGTATGCACTGAGGTGTGTGCACAACCACACACTAAAGTATCAGAATTTTACAGAAGGAAACAATGTTAGAGGACATTGTGCCCAACGCTGGTAACCTTTGCCTGAAGTATAACCCAGAGTACTGAGTCCCTCACTTGCCTGGGTTTGGTGCTCTGCTCCGGAACAAGGGCCTCTCACCCGACTCACCTCTTTTGTTTCCAACTCAGATCATTCAATCGCTGCTCATGACGGTGGCCAACAATTTTGTTACTGACAAGAACTCTGGGGAAGTCATGACTGTAGGGTATGTACAGCATGCGTGGGACTGTGGATGTGTTTAATAGACCAACATGGGCAGTTGTTAGAGCTGTAGCTTCAGCCTCTAGAAGAGCAGTCTTCTCAGGAGGCTTGATGTTTTCATTTTATTGATTAGATTCTAAGGAGAGACTCAGATCAAAAATACTTGTCCTTGTGATCAGCATGTGATGGTTTGCAGTCAAGGACTGTTTAACGACCTAATGCTTCTTTTTCTCCTCCCATGAAGTTCCCTTACACTGGGACATGTGATTGTTAGTGAGTCACTCTGAAGAGAGGCTGGAGAATTTCTGTACCCCTCTGGGTGACTCAAAGGGCTATGTGTGATACACTAAGCAGTTACTTTGTATCTCCCTTGCAAACTGATGCTGGGATAGCAGCCCTAAAGACCTTTAACCCTTTTGAGCTGACTTTATGCCTCTCTTTAGAGTGGGTGAGCAAACGCTGCCATGATTTGTTGTGCCCAACACTGGTCCTTGTTACACTGGCAGAGCATGTGTGACTGTCGGGAATATCAGCCTGGACGGCTGTTCACGTTCTTTCTCGGCCACATTGCAGGTTTAGTGTCCTAAGCCTGTGAAATCCAACCTGTGGTCCTTTTGATTTTTGAACATAAAATTACTCTTTTATTTTAAATTTATTTTTCCTTTTCCAGAATCAATGCTATAAAGGAAATAACAGCTCGATGTCCTTTGGCCATGACTGAAGAACTTCTCCAGGACCTGGCTCAGTACAAGACACACAAAGATAAGAGTGAGTTGCCTGTTGTTCTCTGTGGGCCAGCGGCACAGTCGTCCTGCCTTTACCTCTCAGTGGTCTTTGCTTCGACATTTCTAGTCAAAAGTGGTGTTTTACAGACGTAATGATGTCTGCCAGAACTTTGATTCATCTCTTCCGGACACTGAACCCTCAGATGCTGCAGAAGAAGTTCCGGGTAGGTGAAGCAAACTTGGGGTGGTCTAAAGATTCTAAAGATTGTGGTCAGACGTGAGGGCAGTGCCTGCTGGTCTCATGATAGGTGAGCGATGCTTCCGTGGGGAGTGTGCGTGATGCGTGTGTTCTGTTCTTCAAGCTTAGGACGCCATTGATTGGATTCCTTGGTCCTCGACCCTTGTGACCAGCACACGCTCTGTGATGAGGCTGAGTCTTAGGGTGTGCTGGCTTTCATACTTGACAGTGTTGATGCTGTGGACAGGCTGGCGTCGGCAGTGCCCGTCAGCAGCTGATGCACAGCCCAGCCGGGTGCCGCCTCTTGGCAGAGAGGGAAGCTTTGTAACACAAAGAGGTGGCATACTGAGACTTAAAGCCAGGGGGCAGTTATCTGTACAAAAGCCAGTTTCTCGGTTTAGATCCGAAGGCAGTGAGAAGTGACCTGCGTTCTGCCCGGCTTTACGCTGTTGGCCTGACATGTAAGCAGGTTCCTCTCACCCTAGAGGGCCTTGCATTATGAACGTTTCTTTGAATCTAAGCATCTTAGTTTTAAATAATTTTCTCTTGTAGGGTAAACCTACTGAAGCCTCCATTGAAGCAAGAATACAAGAATATGGAGAGTTAGATGCTAAAGATTACATTCCAGGAGCAGAGGTTCTAGAGATTGAGAAAGAAGAGGATACAGAAAATGACGAAGGTTCATTTCCCTTGTCTTGCCTTGCCTTTTGCTGGGAATTGAACCCAGGTTCTCACTTATACCACAGAAGATCTGGCTCCTAAAGCTACCTGGCAAGATCAGGGTGCCTATGAGTGGTTGTGTAAATGCCGGACCAAAGAGCTGTGATGCTCTTGTATCCTGGCAGCCTCCTTAATGAAGGGTCTTCAGGTCCTTTTGTATCTGGAAGCCTTTTCTGTACTCCAGGTCACTGGAGTTGTTTCTCCTACATCTTGAGTACATTGGGTGAGTTAGACATATACATGCTTCAGGCTCCAGTTAAATGTCTAGGTATAGTTCTGATGGACAGCAAGGGGATGCTGGCGGGCTCTCCATGATTCCGTGCAGGCTGTGTTTTCTGGCATGTGACTTAACTGAGAGTTTGTCCCTCTGTCCCTCTTTGAGCTGTAAGAATTAGATAAGTCACTGTTAGGTTTTGGCTGTTAATATATACTTGGTCAGTGCTGGGTCCCGACTCCTTAAATTAACTAAGTCGATGTGGCATGTGGCAGTGATGTCGCCCAGTTGCTGGTCAGTGGAGTAGCCGAGGTTCATTTCCTTGCTTTTCAACGTTGCTGATATAGCTCACCTTGCTGTGACTGCCCGACCTGAAGAGGTAGCTGTGTCAATGTGTTCTCTTTCACACAGATGGATGGGAGAGCGCCAGCCTCAGCGGGGAGGAGGAGGATGGTGAGTGGGTTGACGTGCACCACTCTTCTGACGAAGAGCAGCAGGAAATTGTAAGTCCACGTGACCTCTCTCAAGGGTGTCACTCTGCCAAGATGCCATGTTTGCTGGGCCATGTTAAAATTTCACTGAAGCTGGTAGTCATTTTCCTTTTGGCGTATGCTTTTCCAGGCCAAGAAGCTGGAGAGCATGCCCATGGAGGAGCGGAAAGCCAAAGCTGCAGCCATCAGCACGAGTCGGGTGTTAACACAGGATGACTTCCAGAAAATCCGCATGGCGCAGCTGAAGAAGGAGATGGATGCTGCCCCTGGGAAAGCCCAGAAAAGGAAATTCATAGACATTGACAGCGACGAGGAGTCCAGGTGAAAGTGGCCCATGCCCAGATCTGCAGTGGCTGGCGATGGAAGAAAGCATCAGGGGAAGGGCTCACCATCATTTTGTATTTTTTATCCCTCACCACAGGGGTGAATTGCTGTCTCTTCGGGACATTGAACGCCTTCATAAAAAGCCCAAGTCTGACAAGGAGACAAGACTAGCAACTGCCATGGTGAGTGGGGGCATACCCTTCCCCACTCTAAACAGGAAGTGGATAGGAGTCTTAATCCCCAGTGTGTGTGGCTGTGAGCTTCCTGGTCCATGCCCACCTGCCCGCCTGCCCTCCCTCACTCACTTACACCCTTTAAAGGTATAATTAACACATAACAGTTGAATTAGGTGGTTTTTTGTTTTGTTTTAAGGCAGGCAGGATCTTACATAACCCACACCCCAGGCTGACCTAAAGCTTTAATTGAGGATGACCTTTGGATTCCTGACCCTCCCGCCTCTACTCCCCAGGTGGTTTACAGACCTGTGCCTTGCTTGGTTTATGCAGCTCTGGGAAAAGGACCCGAGCCTGTGCCTGCTAAGCAAGCATTCTACCAATGGAGTCACCCCAATTAGAGGAGAGCTTTTGTGGTTTTGTTTTTTGGTGTACTTTTTGTTGTTTTGAGACAGAGTCTTTCTATGTAGCTGTCCTGGAACTCTCCATAATGACCAGGCTGGCGTTGAACTCAGGTCAGCCCTCATGTCATGTGCTGGGATTAAAAATGTCCCCTCCATCCCTGACTGTGAATGAGTTTTGACAGCTGTATTTAACCCTGTGACTACCACCCAAAACAAGATGTAGAGGACAGAAGTGCAGTCTTGCGTGCTCATGGTCAGAGTGCTTAGCACATTTATTAAAGCAACAGAGAAATGTGGTCACAGTCAGAGTCGGCCTGCGGCTCGTGCTGTTGCTGCTCAGTTCGTGCAGTGACCACGCTTCTGCTGCTTTCTGTGCCTCGGCAGTAGCTTCTCCTCACTCTCGCAGTCTGTGAATGGAGCCCCACGTGGGCAGTTAGAGCCATGTGCTTTCTCCCCCACTTTTCCACACACCGACCTCTTCCTCTTTCCCACCTGCCAACCCCAGCTCGGCCTCTGGAATTAGACTGAATCGGGAAATTTCCTTTCGCTGAGCTCCATCCTTGTCTCTGTTGGATTGAGTGCCAGGGAGCAAGAGCTGCACTTTGTCTTGTCCTTGGCATCAAACAGAGGGATTAGATAATGCCTGAGGTGTGTTGTTCTTGAAGAAATACTGAACACTAATCTCTTTGTACTAATAGGCAGGAAGGACAGATCGAAAGGAATTTGTGAGGAAGAAAACCAAAATAAATCCATTTTCCAGTTCCACAAATAAAGAGAAGAAGAAGCAGAAGAACTTTATGATGATGCGGTACAGCCAGAATGTCCGGTCAAAGACCAAGCGCTCCTTCCGGGAGAAGCAGGTGGGTTCCGCGTGGGCCTGAGTTCAGCAACATAAAGACAGCTATGTTTTACAAGAGGGCTGCCTCTGACGACCACATGCCAAGTGTGCTTGGGGAGGCTGGGAGCAGTCAGGGTGGGATTGATGGGGTCACCATGTGACCTGTGGGTGACCCTGGATCGTCATCTCTGAAGTGAAAGAATCAAGCTGGGTCCCCTCTGAGGTGCATTCCCATGCCCTGTGAAGTAGATTGATTGATCAGGAAGCACTCTTGGGTGTGGACCAGCTCAGGAAGGCAGTGCTCAGCTCAGCACACAGTTGTGAGTTGTGATGTCTGTGTTCTGTTCGTGCTTACAGCCTGTGGGATTTCTGTCCACTGTAGCTTAGCTGCTTTGCTGCCCATTTTGTTTTAAGACAGGGTCTTACTGTGTGCTTTATAGTGGCTTGATCTCAGCCAGACTGGCTTTCCTCGGAGATTGCCTTGCTCCAGCCATCTAAGTGCTGCCTCTGATTGCAGGCATGTGCTACCGTGCATGGCCTAGCCATGCTGCCGGGTGGTCTGCTTTGCTCAGTGATGCACTGTAGGAACAGATTGACACGGTGTGTTCTCCTCTGAAGCAGCTGTAGAGGATCAGCCCCAGGCTGCACAGTGTCAGCCATCTTTCCTGGTAGCTAGTCACCGACAGCCTGCCAAGGCTGGGGTAGTGGCCAGCCCTCTAGACAGCTCCACCTAAACTCTACCTGCTTTTATTCTTTTACTTATAATCTTTACTTACCACGTGTAGGAAATAAAGCAATGACATTTCTAAATAAAGGCTCTGGATTTTGCCACAGAGTTGAATTGACTTATGTTCTGTCCTTGAGAGCCTTCCTACCTAACGTGTAGGGTTGAGAAAATGGCAGCCACACCCTGTTGGCAGCCTTGCTTCTGCAAGATTTAATTGAGTTTAGGCCATTACTCCACTTCCTGTTTTATAGGATGCCGTTTCTTAGCATGGTAGAGAAGCTGGACTTTGATCCTCACCGGTGCGTTAGTAAACATTTCTCTCCGAATAGGAGAAATTCCAAGACTAAATTAAGACTGCACTGTAGCCGTCAACGCTGTTGTTTTGAGAAGGCTTCTTCATTCTGCAGTTTTCTTGCTGCGTGAACTGACAGATGAGCCAGCCTTCCTGCGCTTGTTTCCTTGCCTTGCAGTTTCTTCAGGGTTTATTGTTATAAAACAACTGATTTTCCATATTGTCTCCGCTGCACCTAGACCCCCACTGTTTAAACTGAACATAAGATTCCTTAAGTCAGTCGGGCAGTGGCGGCGCACACCTGTAATCCCAGCACTTGAGAGGCAGAGGCCTGGTCTACAGAGAGAGGCCCAGGACAGCCAGGGCTACACAGAGAAACCCTGTCTCAAAAAACAGAACAAAACTAAAAACAAACAAACAAAAAGAGCATCAAGTATTAAATTATTTTTAAGTAAAAAAGATAAAATTTATTTTAATAGTATGCCTTGTTTTGCCTAAAACATCGAAGTAATTCTAACACCTAATCAATATAGAAGTTGTTGAGATATTTTATATTTGTGTTAACTAATTAAAATCCAGGGTCCTGTTTGAACAAGGAACTTTGTCCTAATTGTTTCTGTTGCCGCAGTTTGCCTGTGGCTCATGTCAAATGCTCAGTAGCCAGAGTCCCTGAAGCTCCGGGGACCCTGGCAACCTCTGAGAAAGAGCAGCTTGCGTTACCCTGTGGGCATTTCACTGTGCTGAACAGAACCTAGAAGCCTTGCTGCAGAGCCAAGAGAAGGGGCTGCAGACATGCCTGGAAAGACGGTGGTGTCTGCGGGGAAGGGTCTGGGCTGTGCGAATAGCTGCGCTGACCCAAATGGCCAGTGTGCGCTGGGACAGTGCTTGGCCTGCAGCTTAGCCACCCTGGACGCCCGAGTGACACATGAGCGGCTCCTGTGAGTGAAGTGCAAATGCAAACAGCAAGACCCTGGAGAGAGCCAGACACTCGCCTCAGCCGACCTAACAACTCCTCCTGCCTTCAAGGAGATGGAAACTCTAGCAGGAAGCTGAAGGCACAGAGATGTAGAATCCAGAGCTGTAGAACGTGTAGATGTAGAGCCAGGTGACAGCTAACCTAGAATGGGCTTGGTACTTTTGAGACAGGGTTTCAGATGAGTATGAGCCCAGACTGGCCTTAAATTTCGTCTTTCTGACCCAGCCTGCCAGGTGCTGAAGGCGTGAGTCACGATACCTGGCTTCCAAACATGTCTGCTAACCTTAGTGAAGTAAAAGCCAGGGTTAGTGTTGGGAATTAATGGAGACGTGTGCCTTGGCCTTGCTTGCCGTTACTACTTAAAACTTGGACTTGTTGTTAATGGCCTTTCGTATTCTGTTATCTGGGAGGGTTAAGAATCTTGAGGGGACATCTGTACCTCCAAGTGCCGAGCAGAGCAGAGAAATGCCGCGCGTCCTCCCTGAAGTCAGGTGATGCTGTTTCTGTAGGAAACGTAAGATCACTGCAGACGTTGGTTTTGGTCTTAAACTGGATCTTAAACTCTGTAATTCTACCCCATATATGATCGTCCCAGGAGCCCCCATTTCTGTGCTAGAAGACAGGGTCACGGCCAGCTAGAATGCACACTCGCTGCTTTCACTTCTGATAGGTTTCTGACACAAAGTGATTGAGGAAGTGAGAGACTGAGAGCCTGGGTTAACTAGGAAGAAATGCTTGTTTGTCTTGAGCCCAATACCCAGAGTTTTGACCCCTTGCTAATGTCTTCAAGTCTTTGCCATTGAAAAGAAGTTACAGTGGTGACGATGGTAAGATTGTGTTACTGGCTGGCAGCGGTCGCCTTTCTCCACCGAGCCATCTGGTGAAATACTTCACTATGTGACATTTTTAGGATGGCTATTGACCTAGTGTCTGGTAACTATGACCTAGTTGGTGTAGCAAGTATTACTGTTGACGTTTTCTTCCTTTTCTCTTGCAGCTAGCACTACGAGATGCACTTTTGAAAAAGAGGAAAAGAATGAAGTAGCATAGCAGCAAGTTACCGTTTCCTGCCAGCGCTGTGTGTATTGACATGCTGAAGATTAGTAAATATTTGCTTACATTAAAAGGATAAGAGACGGGGGTTGGAGAGATGGCTCAGAGGTTAAGGGCACTGACTGCTCTTCCTGAGGTCCTGAGTTCAATTCCCAGCAACCACATGGTGGCTCACAACCATCTGTAATGAGATCTGGTGCCCTCTCTGGCGAGTAAGCATATATGAAGACAGAACACTGTATACATAATAAATAAAAATATTTTTTAAAAAATTAAAAAAAAAAGGATAAGAGACACTATATTTTGGAAACCGCAGTAGCAGTTGTAGCAATTTGGTATTTTTAATTTGGATGTGGGGCTGGTGGGATTGTGAATGTAAATAGTAGTGGTGTTAAGATCTCCTTTCTAACTCAGAGCAATAGCAAGTGCCTACTAATTGCTGCATGCACAGCTGAGTGAGCGGAGCCCCACTGAGGGCAGGTGTATATGCCGTGTTTATAGTGAGCTTGTAAGTAGTTCCTTGTGGCTGTTGGTCCGGATTCCTAGAGTTGCTGGGCTCCTGGATGAACTGCGGGATGGGAGTCGTACATGCTCTGCAAACAGGACAGTGTTACAAGAGTAAGAGGTTCTTACTTGTAAATAGGCTTGCCTGCTGAACAGGCTCCTGCTGTACAGACCGTGTCTTCTTCTTTCTTTTCAATGTTAAGAGTTGGCTAAGACCCCATTTTTCAAATTGCCTTAAGTTTAAATAGTGATTTTGAAATACCTAGCAGGGTGCTGAGGCACACGCCCATAATCCCAACATTCAGAAAGCTAAGGCAGAAGAAGGCTCATGGTTTTAGAACCAGCTTGGAACATACTGAGTTAGTTCAGGGACAGCCTGGGCTCATAGTGAAACCCCAACCAGAAACACAGACCCTTTGAGCTTTCCGTTTGTGCGGCCTGTTCTCTGCTGTCTGTTGCTGGGGTTTGGTTGTCTGTGCAGCCTGCTCTCTCTGTTCTCTGCTGTCTGTTGCTGTTGGGGTTTGTTTTTGTTTTGCTCTGCTGGGGATCAACCCCAGGTCCTGGTGTTTACCACTAAGTGGATTCTCTGCCTCAGAGAATTCCAGCCCCGGGTGCCTGCTCTGCACTGGTTTGATCAGTTCCCTTCATTCTCAGTCCATTGTTTACCTTGTTCTCAACCAAAGCTACACATTTTTAATGTCAGCTAGGTGTGTGCAGTGGACAGTCACGCTTGAGTCCTGTGTGGGACACAGTCTGCGTGCAGGCTGCTGGGTTTAGAAATAGTCTGGTGCCTTTTGCCTCAGCCATCTTAGGTCGTCCTCTAATGAAAAATGTCTATGCTTGGATTGGAGGAACGGCAGTTCTCCACCCCTCGGGATTGGTAGCAGCTTTCCCTTTCCCCTTTCATTGTTCTGTTCTGTTGCTGAGCTCAACTTTGGTTTTCTTTTCCCCTGTCACTTTTCCCCCATGGTGGCCCGGGTCCCTGGTAGGGGATTGCCCCGCAGCCTCACCCCAGCACAGCTGTGGAGGAAGTGTCCAGCACAGGCTTGTGTCAGACCTGAAACAGCTCATCACTTTTCTTCTCGTGTTCTTCGGGCGTCTCCTTGTATATCGGCTCTGAAATCAGCTGCAAGAATCCAGCTGCAGCTGTGCTCTGTGGCCTCTCAACTCCTCCAGCACCACCTCCCAGCTGCTCACTACCATGTCCACTTTCTGGGCTACTAGGGCTCATACTCAGGCCTTGGCATTTTAATCCAGAATACCAGCTCATTACCTCTATAGCATTAGCAGATTTCACTGGTAAAGAAGCGCCGGACAAGACAGTCTCAGCTCTTCTCTGCCGCATCCCTGTGCTAGCCAGGTGTCTCCTGTAGTGTGGAGGGTACAGGTACAGCGCATGCATGATTAACCCTGCTGCCAAGGCTGTCTGTAAGTGTCACACCGCCTACCTCTCTTAGTAAATTGTGTTTTGGTGGTTTCCCTCACTTCCTTCTTTTTTCTTACAATAGTTAAGATGCTGTGTTTATTTTAACTGTCAAGTCCAGTGTCTAGGCAGCTAGTTTAAAGTACATGTCGACTGTCCACTGTGTACAAGCACTGTTAGGTGGTTGTGGCTGCACAAACCACATTTGTGTTCCATGAAGACAGCTGTGACGATCCAGTCACTTCGCAGTAGGCACACACTGAGCCTTCACGCTGCACCATAATCCATGTGCCCGGTGCCCGCCATGGGCAGGGCAGCACTGTAGAAAACTTGTTCTTGAGTCCTGTGCTTAAGATGTAATAGTCTTGGTGTGATTTTTAAAGGTTCTAGTTAATATAAATTTTGGGTTTTTTTTATATTCTAATCATTGAAAATTTGTAATGTATATAGAGTATTACATTGAAATTCTATTTTAACTAAAACATTTGTTTTGAGTGTTCTTTTTAATCCATTTTAAGTAACATATTTTTAAACTGTATATAGGCAATGGTGCTATTCTAAATAGCATCCTCTCATTAATCCTTTCCCTGATTTTGGAGTGTGTTTTCTGAGATTTAGGAAAGTTTAACCAGACATGGTGACATAACCTATAATCCCAGTACTTGGGAGAATGATGAAGGGCAGGGAGTTGCTGTGAGTTTGAGGCTGGTCTGGCCTACTTAGCGAGATAACAAAACCCTGTCTCGGGGAAGGGGACATGAAACGAAGAAGAATAGAGAGATCTGGACTACAGGAAGGAAGCTGGCAGCACCTGGACCACTAGGTCCGGTCCGGGCTCCGGGGCCCCTTTCCTGGTCTTTTTCACCTCTGTTTAAACCTGCAGAGGGAAGCAGAGGCCACTGCTGCTTCTGCTGCGGGTGAATCGCATGCACATAGAGCTCTATGTGTTAATTTCTCTCGCAGATTCTGCTTGTATGTTTTATTAGCTAAGGTTAAAGTATGAAAGGTATTTGCTGTAGAATCTGGTATGTGTGTGGGATATTATAAAAACATGCAGGAAATGCCAAATCTTCGGGCGGGGGGGTGGGTGGGATCGTGTGTATAATGTGTTGTCTTTTCTTTCTGAGTCTGGCATGGTGTATGTTTTTACTTATGGCATTGTGTAAAAAACAGAGACATGGAATAAAGGTACATGGAGGATCATTCTGGTGAAGTTTCTCTGTAAGGAGGAGGAGGCTGCCCCCTCCGGGGGTGGGGGATGTGCTGGGATCAAATGAAGGACCTCGCGCATGTGGAGCAAGTGATCTCCCCCTGAGCTACACTTCAGGCCTGGACATGCACCTTAAACCCCAAGGACGGTGTGATTTAAAAGCATCCAGAGGTGTTTGTCTCCCCTTTCTCATTTTCACACTGGCTTCCTGAGGTCTAGAAACATTCTCTAGGACCATCGCCTTCTCTCAGTTCTGCCAGCAATACACTGGAGACGTGGCTCAGTGGTTTACCATTGGGGACTGGAAATGTGGCTCAGTGGTTTACCATTAGCAAGGACTAGAGACGTTGTTTAGTGGTTTACCATTAGCAGGGACTGGAGATGTGGCTCAGTGGTTTACCATTGGGGACTGGAGACATTGCTCAGTGGCTTACCATTAGCAGGGACTGGAGACATTGCTCAGTGGTTTACCATTAGGGACTGGAGATGTGGCTCAGTGGTTTACCATTAGCAGGGACTGGAGACGTTGTTTAGTGGCTTACCATTAGGGACTGGAGATGTGGCTCAGTGGTTTACCATTAGCAGGGACTGGAGACATGGCTCAGTGGTTTAGAGCACTGGCTGTTTTTGCAGATGACCTGTGTTTGACTCCCAACACCCACATGGTGGCTTTTGATTATAACTCCAGAGGATCCATTGCCCTACACGAGGGCGCCAGGCACACGCGTGGTATGCACACATACATGCAGACAAAACACATACATGGAAGAAAAAAAGTTAATGTGGTTTTTAAAGTACCATTAACATGGTTCTTAGGGGGAAAAATGGCTTACAGTTTGCACAGGTCTAAAACAACATAGGCTTTAGCTCAAACCCACTTTGAAATTTTCTTTTTATTTATTATTTATTTATTTATTTTGGTTTTTTTGAGACAGGGTTTCTCTGTAGCTTTGGAGCCTGTCCTGGAACTAGCTCTTGTAGACCAGGCTGGTCTGGATCGAACTCATAGAGATCCACCTGCCTCTGCCTCCCAAGTGCTGGGATTAAAGGTGTATGCCACCACCGCCTGGCTGAGATTTTCATCAAAGAAAATGATCAGAATATGGCAAGAGCCACAGATTTTTCTTTGAACTCTTATCTGAAAACATGCATTGTGGTCATTTCGCTGCAGACAATGTAACATTAAATGGCAAGAATAATACAGCATCTCTAGAATACAGGCAACATCATGCAGTATAGTTAGGAGGAATAGTGATCATTTTCTCCTTGCTTTTTTTTTTTTTTTTTTTTTGGATTTTTCGAGACAGGGTTTCTCTGTGGTTTTGGAGCCTGTCCTGGAACTAGCTCTTGTAGACCAGGCTGGTCTCGAACTCACAGAGATCCGCCTGCCTCTGCCTCCCGAGTGCTGGGATTAAAGGCGTGCGCCACCACCGCCCGGCTCTTATCAAATATCCAGCAAGAAGTGACTTGGGAAGGATTTATTTAGATTCCCAGTTTGAAGGCCACAACTCTGAGAAGGGAGAGGCGGGCCAGTAGGCCGCTCCCTGGTGCTAGTGTGTGGCCGAGACATCTCATTCCAGAAGGCTGGAGAAAAACAAGACTGAAGCCTCCGTGTACAGCAGCTCATGTCCTCCGGCCGCCTCTGGCCCCTAAATGTTCTCAGCTCCACCACCGCCACTGCAGCTGGTGAGTCTGTGAAGAGCATTTCACGGCCACGCCATCACAGTTAGACCAAAAAGCAACAGTTGCTACTGGACGTCATTTTAAGCTAAGGTACAAGCTGGATGTATACCCAGCTGTAATCCTAGTACTCATGAATTTAAAGGCCAGCCTGGGCTACACGGACCTTTTCTGAAAACATACACGGGAGGTATACACGCTGGTAATGTGAAAAAAAGTTAAGCTGGGTTGTTTTTGTTTAGTATTTAGTTTTTCAAGACAGCATTTCTTGGTGTAGCCCTGCTGCCCTGGAACTTACTTTGTAGATCAGGTTAAACTCATGAGCCTCCTGCCCGGCACTTGCCTGAGGTTAAGCTGTTTTTAAAGCAGTATATGAGACTATATAAAGTGATATTAAGGCTTTTATGTATTAATGTCTGAAATTGGAATGTGTTTAAGTTCTTCCATCCTTGTGACAGTCTTAGCATATTGTCCTGTTTGCACATCCAGACTTGGTCTCACATCTCCAGCTGTCGCCTTTAAGACCACACAGGCATTAACATCCAACCTTGGGGAATGGGGCTTAGTAGCTAGTCAGAAAATACAGAAAAAAAATAATAAAAGGTAAGTTATATTAAGCTGTTGTCATAACAGAGAAAAGTCCAGGGGCCAGGGGGCGGGTGTGTGGTGTGCAGCATATGTAGACCTCTGCTTTCAATTCCCATACTACGTACAGCCAGGCATGGCTGTGCACGCCTGTGATCCCAGCACCTCACAGCAGGACACGCAAGACCCAACCTCAAAGTGCTCCAGCATTAAGGACACTTAAGCTTGGTGAGTGTTCCAAACCGCATCTCAGTATTCACCTCAGCAGGAAACATACAAGAGCTTAAAGCCTGCATCTTACTGAACTCTTAAATGCTGTAGGTTGCAGGACACAGGGGTCCACACTCAGCCACTTGCAATCCCAGTGATGGAAGGCGGAGGCTCTGGGCATACTGCTGCAAATTCAAAGCCTGCTTGTTCTGTGGAGCATGTTCCAGGTAGTAGCCCTGCCTCCAAAACAGAATCAACCAAGGTTCTGTGTAAGTGTACACTGATGCACACCCGGTCTTTGAGAAAGTCACTGAAACTGGAGCTCACGGGCTGGCTAGGCTGACCAGCTTATCACAGGCTGGCGAGGCTGACCAGCTTAGTGGGCCCCTGCAATCTGCCTGTCTCTCCCTCACCTGCCACCGCAGCTCTGGGGTACAGGCGGGAGCCACCATGTGTCGGGGAGAGGGGACCGCTGGAGATTTAAACTCAGGTTCTCATCCTTAAACACTGACATCTCCATCAAGTCATATGGCAGTTTGAAAACATTAACCGCAAGTGCAAAGAAGCTTTAGCAATATCTTAATTTCAGTTTTTTTAACATACAAGAGTAGAGATACTTTTTTCCCCTAATTGTACAAAGACTTAAGAGAGTTCTTTAAATGCAAACAGGGTCCTCCTTTAAAAAAAAAAAAAAAAAAGGATGTCACACTTTAAATGACAGTTCTCCCTTGAGCACATACAGTAATGGTATTTAAAATAACCACGTGGAAATGGTTGCTGGCTGTGGGTGAGAAGAATATGTCTGTCTGACAGCTTTTCCGTCTGTCTTAGGCATCCTGATAATTTGCGTGTTAAACATTTATACAAAGCATCCTTGGCCAAACCAGGAACAGTCTAGTTTCATCTCAGCAAAAGGCTGCTGGGGCGGACTTTCTGTTCCTAAATCAGCATCAAAGGGGCCTTAAAAGGAAATTGGGCCAAGGAGTAAAGCCATAGGGTGAAATAGGAACCCACTGCCCTTCTGGGAAAGGTTGCAAAAGCTGGAGGTAAAGGAGGAGAGGAGGAGAGAGGGTACGCCTCACAACTTCCTGTTTCAAGGCCTCTTGAACCTTCCTCTTTAAAAGATAGAAACATTCTCTAACTGTGACTTTAAATATAGAGGACAATGAAACACCAACTCAGCATTAGTATATTGTGTTAAAGAAGGAGAGTTTGGGAGGCTGGCATGGTGCACGTCTGTAATCCCAGCACACAGGGAATGCGGGCGGGAGGAGCAGCCTGGGGCCAGCCTGGCCTCTATAGTACATACCAAGCGTGTGTCTTAAAGGGAAGAATTTAACTGCAGGGAAAAGAGCATTAGAGTGAAATGACATTCTCACCACGACTCCTCCCTCAAGAGAGCTGCTAATCTCAGGGCTGATGCCTGCCATTCCTGTAGCGTGTGTTCAGCATGGTGCTGTGAAATTTATACTCTTGCAAACTGTGGCTCAGCATTGGCTTCTGTGTGTGTTGTATGTGGGGTGTGCTCGTGTGTGTGCGCATGGAGGCCAGAGGCCGACATCCTTTGTCTTCCTCTTCCCGCGTCTTCTGAGATGGAGTTGCTCTCTCTCTGAACGTGATGTTCACAGATTTGGATGAACTGGGAATGTGATGCAGTTTCGTTCCCTCTCAGCAAGAGGCAATTGGGGCGGACAGGCCTGGGATCCTTCGGCCTCTGCCTCCCCGGCACCGGGCCACAGGCCTGACTTTTTACACGGTCGTCATGCTCAGACAGCAAATGCTTTTCCAACGGGGTCATCTTCCCCAGGCCCAGCATTAGAGTCTCCATAAACGCATCTTTCATTTTGTTAAATGTTGTATTCTTTATTCAACCGTTCATAATTCATTATTTTCCTGCCTAAAAACGGTTAGATGTTTCTGTTTAGAGCCTTTTGGGCATCCCTGCAAACACTACAGCCATAGAGAAACGACCGTAGGAAAATGATCTGTGTGAGGCGAGAAGAGTCCGGCTCAGCGGCCGGTACCTGCTTTGAGCATCTAGAGTCTGGCACAGGGCAGCTTTTCCTTTAGGCATTTAAGTGCAGTACAATTTTGGGGGAAAGGTTTGCTGGTGGCAGTTATCTCAACCCCGTGGGCATAGCAAAGCTTATGACACCTTGAGGGCCTAGGGAAGGAGCAGGTGTAGTCTTGGTCATACAGATCTTGTAGAGGTCACCAAGCTACAAAGAGCATGTGACATCTCCCTTAAGGATATGTTCTGTTGTCTGAGAAACAAAGCTAAAAATAAAGGCCTAGGGAGAGAGAGTCTGGGGTAAACATAATCCTTTAGGGATTCAGATGTGGCTTGGCCCTACAGATAGCAAAGCTCACCACCGGGCTGTTAA